TAGTAGTAGTAGTAGTAGTAGTAGTAGTAGTAGTAGTAGTAGTAGTAGTAGTAGTAGTAGTAGTGGTAGTGGTATTGAAAGTAGTAGTGGTCGTAGTAGTCAGAGTTGTAGTCGTAGCCGTAGCAGTGGTAGTAGTGGTCGTAGTCGTATTAGAAGTAGTAGTAGCAGTAGTAGTAGTAGTAGTGGTAATATTAGTAGTAGTAGTCGTAGTAGTCGTAGTAGTCGTATTGGTAGTAGCAGTAGTAGTAGTAGTCGTAGTAGTAGTAGTAGTAGTAGTAGTAGTAGTAGTAGCAGTAGTACTCGCAGTCGCCGTAGCCGTAGGAGCGGGAGTAGTCGAAGGAGTAGTAGTCGTAGTAGTAGTCGTAGTAGTGATCGTTGTTGCAGTTGGGGTAGAAGTTGCAGTAGTAGTAGTAGTAGTAGTTGCAGTAGTCGTAGTCGTAGTCGTAGTCGTAGTAGTAGTAGTAGTAATAGAAGAAGTCGTAGTAGTAGTAGTAGTAGTAGTAGTAGTAGTAGTAGTAGTAGTAGTAGTGGTAGTCGTAGTAGTAGTAGTAGTAGTAGTAGTAGTAGTGGTCACAGTAGCAGTCGTCGGCGTCGTAGCAGGAGTAGTCGCAGTAGTAGTAGTAGTCGTAGTAGTAGTAGTAGTAGTAGTAGTAGTAGTAGTAGTAGTAGTAGTAGTAGTAGTAGTAGTAGTAGTAGTAGTACTAGTAGTAGTAGTAGTCGTAGTAGTAGTAGTAGTAGTCTAGTAGTAGTAGTAGTAGTAGTAGTAGTAGTAGTAGTCGGAGTAGTCGTAGTAGTAATCGTCTTAGTCGCAGTAGTAGTAGTCGTAGTCGTATTCGTAGTAGAAGTAGTAGCTGTAGTAGTCGTAGTAGTAGTAGTAGTAGCACTAGTCGTAGTTGTAGCAGTAGTAGTAGTAGTCGTAGTAGTAGTAGTAGTAGTAGTAGTAGTCGTAGTAGTAGTAGTAGTAGTAGTAGTAGTAGTAGTAGTAGTTGTATCAGTAGTAGTAGCAGTAGTAGTAGTAGTAGTCGTAGTCGTAGACGTAGTAGTGGTAGAGTAATAGTAGTAGTCGTAGTAGCAGCAATAGTAGTAGTAGTAGTCGTAGTCGTAGTAGTAGTCGTAGTAGTAGTAGTAGTAGTAGTAGTAGTAGTAGTCGTAGCAGTAGTAGTCGTAGTAGTAGTAGTAGTAGTAGTCGTAGTAGTAGTAGTAGTAGTAGTAGTAGTAGTAGTAGTTGTTGTTGTAGAAGTAGAAGTAGAAGTAGAAGTAGAAGTAGTAGTAGTAGTAGTAGTAGTAGTAGTAGTAGTAGTAGTGGTAGTCGTAGTCGTAGTCGTAGTAGTAGTAGTAGTAGTAGTAGTAGTAGTAGTAGTAGTAGTAGTAGTAGTAGTAGTAGTAGTAGTAGTAGTAGTAGTAGTAGTCGTAGTCGTAGTAGTAGTAGTAGTCGTCGTAGTATAGTAGTAGTAGTAGTAGTAGTAGTAGTAGTAGTAGTAGTAGTAGTAGTAGTAGTAGTAGTAGTAGTAGTAGTAGTAGTAGTAGTAGTAGTAGTAGTAGTAGTAGTAGTAGTAGTAGTAGTAGTAGTAGTAGTAGTAGTAGTAGTAGTAGTAGTAGTAGTAGTAGTAGTAGTAGTAGTCGTAGCAGTCGTCGCCGTCGCCGTCGTAGTAGTCGTATTATCAGTGGCAGTGGCAGTAGTAGAAGGAGGGGTGGGACATCGAAGCGGCGTCGAAACATCATTCGGGAGAACTCGGGCTACCTTCGGACAGCATCCGGGGATGGATGAGGGCAGTATCCGTGTTGAGAAGTGCGCAGGGGCAGCGAGGGAAGGTCGAGGGGAGGGCAGGGAGGGTCGAAGGTGGGGGGTCGAAGGATGAGGGGTCGAAGGAGAGGTGCCTGGGGAAGTCGAAGGAGGAGGGGTCGAAGAGGGGGGGCCCGATGAGGGTCTCGGCGCACCGCTGCGCTGCAAGGGGTGGAGGCGGGCCCTCCCCGAGGCCAGCAAGGGCTCCAGGAGGGCGGCCCCGTCACCGCGGGCGGATTCTCGCGGCTGTGCAGATCTGGCGAAGGAGGAGGATGAGGAGGAGGAGGAGGAGGAGGAGGAGGACGAGCAGGAGGAGGCCATATTACTCCTGCTCCTCCTCCCTTCTACTTCTTTTCTCCTCCTCCCTTCTCCTTCTCTCCTCCTACTCCCGCTCTTGATGTTCCTCATCCGTTCACCTCCCTCAGGCCTCCCCACAAATAGGCCCAGGGGCACCCCACTGGGTCCGCACCCCCGTCACACCGAGGGACCCCTGGGCGTAGGGGCCCCTCCCTCGTCCTCCCTCCCTCCTCCCTCCTCCTTCCTCCCTCTCTCTCTCTCTCTCCTCTCCCGCGAAGACTGGGGATGCAGGCCAGAGGAGGGAGTGGAGTGAGGGAAGAGAGAGAGAGAGAGAGACAGACAGAGCGAGAGAGAAGGACGGACGTGAGGGATGAGCGAGGAGCATCTCGAGGAGGGAGCATGGGCGGCCGACCCAGGGGGAGCGCAGTGACCTTCAGGGCCGAGGGCGGCGCGGAGGCGCCATCGCGCCGCCCGCTCCTAGACAGAAGCGGCTCGGCCTCTGGGCTATCGGGTGCGGAGGTCGGCGACGAGACCAAGCGGCCGTTTCGAGGTATCTGCGCCTTCGAGATGCGGCTCTCGGACATCCAGGCCGGGAGTGTCGAAGAAGAGCGAAGCAGCATGAGGCGTAAGCTTTCGGAGCTCCGCGCTCCAGGCAGGGGGGTCCAGCGCCGATCCGGGACATCCGCGTGGACCTCCGATAGTTTATGTCCGTACAGCTTTCAACTCCTCGACCCTCCTCCTTGCCAGGGCCTCGACTACCTGAACCCGCTGATCGTGAACGCCAGCAGGCTGGTGGTCGAGGCCCAGCCCATGGGCCCTCTCGGACAGCAGCAGGAAGGAGGACGAGGAGGACGAGGAGGAAGGGGGCAGAAAGATCGGGGGCAGCCCAAGGTGCCCCCTTTGCCCAAAGTGCCCTCGGCCTCGTGAAGGGTGCTCTGGAGGCAAGCGGGGGGATTATTGGGAATTCTGGGGGGCACCTTGGGCCAGGGGGCACTTCCAGCAACACCCGAAAGGGTGGGGAGGATGACGGTGAGGAGGAGGAGGGTGTAGCAGCCGGCGCGGGCCCGCCGGCGGGGCCGGTTGCGCCACACGCTCGGGGCGTGACCCGTCTCCCTATGAGTGGCCTCGCTCCCCTCCCGCCCCCGCGTTCGGCCGTTCTCTCTGCTTCGTCTCCTCCTTCTGCACGGTGGCACAGTTCGCTGCAACGGTACCCCCGTTCAGGTGGCCCTCCGCCAGCGCAGTTATTCTGCCTCGCCGCCTGCGTAAGAAGTGTGTGTGTGTGTGTGTGTGTGTGTGTGTGTGTGTGTGTGTGTGGAGGGAGGGGCAGAGGATTACAAGGGTTACCGCTATCGCAAGAGTGATAGAAAGGCGTGGGGCTCAGGCTTTGGAGACCAGATCGCGGTGCATCCGATCGAGATACTGTCGGCGTGGGTCGGAGGCGGTTTCTGTGCAAGGCTTCGCGAGACCCGTGAGTTGGGTGGGCCTTGTCGAAGAGGCCGCATGTCTGGGAGGGATGGGTGGAGGAGGAGGGGGGTGTCGCAGCACAGTGATCGGGATTCGCAGCCAGAGGGCGATTGGAAGATGAGCGGCGGGGGGCCCTCCCATCGCCTTCCCGATTCCTTTCCGCTCCCCTCTCCATCCCGTCTCGACCCCTCCATCCTAGCTGTCCCCCCTGCGTGCCTCGCCTCTCTCCTCCACCCCTCCTTCCGCTTCGCTCTCTCTCTCTCTCATCCTTTCGCCTCTCTTCGTGACCCTCCCCCTTCCGTCACCTTCCTCCTCCCGCCCTTCCTAGGAGGTTGGAGTTGATCCTGCACTGGCCTCGGAGTTTCGTGTTGACGCATCCCGTCTCGGGTGCCCCTTTGCACTGGTCTCAGAGCACCTACGCGCCCGTGCAGAATGTTTTCACCAGTGTTGTTTTCCTCAATCAGCGCTTGCTCTGCACTGTTTGGGGCCCAGGTCCGATTTTCACTCGGCCAGTTGACCGCTACTTTCCTCACAGGCCCCCGTGCTCAATCAGTCGTGCAATCCCAAATCCGCCCTTCCTCCCCTCCTGGCCTCCCCAGCCCCACCTGCCGCCCCTCCCCCCCCCTGCCTCCCCAGACATGCGATGTCCAGGTGTTGTTGAGGACGGCCTGGCTGGTTCTTCATCGCAAGTCCTTGGTGGACGGTCCCGGGGCCTGGCGAGGCCCCCCAGAGTCCGAAAGTTGTCAAGAGTCTCCCGTCCTGATTTTTCGACCTCGCGATCATGCCCGGGCCCTGCCCTCGGCACCACCCAAACCTATTATCGGGGGCGGCAAAGAGGGGGGTGGTGACAAGGGGAGGGTGGATATCATGGCGGGGGCCATGATATCTCCCCAGATTTCATGGCGCCTCTTCTTATTTCATGTCGTCCCTGGCCCCCCCGCTGGGCCGCGCACATGCCGCCGGTCGTGATTTGCACCCCCCCCCCTCTTGGACACCCCCCTCCTGGGCCGCCCCCGATGTCAGCACTGTATGCTGGCGTCTGCGCCCCAATGGGGGCGGCGCGCGCGCACCCGCGAGCCCTGCAGCACGTGCTCGGTGGCCGGCGCGGCCCGGCCCTGCCGCCGGGGGAAGCGGCGTGCTGCCGCACGGTGGTGCTGCGCGTCCGGGTCGGGCGCACGCCTGCCCGGGAGGACGCGCAGAGTGCGGTGGGGGCGCTCGCTCAGGAGGGCGCCCAGGAAGAGCAGCCCCAGGAGGATGGCTCCTCTGGCGAGGGCGGCGGTGATATCCATGGCCAACCCACGAGTGGGGTCCCACGGGCTTCCAGGCCCTGGATTCCCTATCCAACGGTTCCTAATCCAATGCCTTCACCGTAGCCGTGTGCCATGTCCTTCTGCGTCCCATCCTCCCGTGCCCTACTCCCCCCCCCACCGCCGGAGGCGAAGAGGCTCACGAAGCGGTGGTTCCCGACCCTGGGGCACTGCGCCCGGCACTACAGCTGGGACCCGCCGTCGCTCGAGCCCTCACGGGACACGGGGGCGGCGACAACCCGCTTCTCTTTTGGGTTTCTCTTCGGCAGCGACGCTCGCCAATGACATTTGGGCGACGAGCTCAGTGCAACTGCGAGGCGAACGTGTCACGGAATACCTGTTGGAGGGGGTGAGGATGGCAAAACGTTATAAGAGAAGCGACTTGCCTGAAGTGATCCAGGCCAGGTTCGTAGTTACGCAGTGGTCCAAGAGCATATCCGTATCCGCGACCTCGCGGGCCGGGCCCCTGGGCCGCCACCCCGCGGATAAGAGGCGCTTTTTGTCGCGGATGCTCCGCGCGCAGCGTAGCCGTGCGACCGCGCATCCTCGCGAGCGCGCCGCAGAATCCAGACCGCGAGGGCGCGGGTACGGACATGTTCGCCGCTCGTGAGAGTGTCGGGCCAGACGGAAGGGGGGGGACAGGGAAAGGGGGGGTTACGAAATCTGCTGCATGCAGCTGGTTTCAGCCCCACAGAGGGGCCCATTCCTCGATACGTGGCCGCTTCCGGCGCCGGGAGGCGCCGGGAAAGTCAGCTACTTGGGCTGGTTCTCACCCCCTCCCTTTGCTATCCCCCCCTTTCGCCCGGCCCGAGAGGAAGGGGAGGAGGAGGAGGAAGAGGAGGAAGAGGAGGAGGAAGAGGAGGAGGAGGAGGAGGAGGAGGAGGAGGAAAAGGAGGGGGAGGAGGAGGAGGAGGAGGAGGAGGAGGAGGAAGAGGAGGTGGAGGTGGAGGAACGAGGAGCGAGGAGCGAGGAGCGAGGAGCGAGGAGCGAGGAGGAGGAGGTGGAGGAGGGGCAGGAGGAGGGAGGAGGAGGAGGAACGAGGAGGGGAAGGAGGAGGAGGATGAGAAGGATGTTTTTGTCAAATCGAGCCACAGACCAGTGCCTTTCCTAGAGGGTTGCCTCAATAGCCGCAGTTCAACAGTGTGCAAGCATTCCAGTGTTTCTTGTTGCATCGCATGATCTGTCTCTGCTGCCATTTCGGACCAAGGGATATGCCGAGAGCGCGGGGCGCACGATAAACCCTTTTCTCTCTGTATCTGTTCATGTCGACCAGTGGGAAGCTCTGGCTTTCCCATTGGTAGCGGAGCAGGTTGCTCCAGCGCCTCGGGGGAGGCGCACGCACCTGCCGGGAGGCGCCGGCAGACGACAGACCAGATGATGAGTTCGGAATCCACGGGTCCGAAAGGGGGTTTCGGTATTTCCATGGAGACGGTAGCCAGGGTAGCCACCAGGAGTTGCGGAAGTGGATCACGCGGGCTAAGTCGGCAACGGCGTGCCGCAAGCCTGAGTCTACTCAACGAGGACCTTTCGTCTACGCGCTGCTGCAGGGGTCAGCTCTCGACATTGTGGATCACTTAGAGTTCGGGGATTACGAGCGAGAGGGTGGAGAGCAGACAATTCTCGGGTTGCTGCTGAAGCGTTGGCCCGCCAAGGAGCAGGAGGACATTATTGGCGAACACCTCGAGGCCGCTTTCGGTCTGCAGGGTCGCGAGGGAGAGCATGTGGCAGCTTGGCTCGGTCGCGCGAAGGAGGTGTTCCAAAAGTGCAGTGCCAAAGCGAACGTACAGTTCCCGACGGAAGCACAGGCCTGGATTATGCTGCATCGGTGCGGGCCTACTCCAGAGCAGCGTGCCATCGTGAAGGCGAGGGGGTCCAAATTCACATCATAGGCAAAGGAGGTGGCGATCAGGGCGGTGTTTCTAACTTACCAGATACCGAAGCTACGCGCACCGAGGCCGGTGCGTTCTTGGCCGACATGACAGAGGATGATGATCATTATGTCCCACCGCCGAATTTTGCCGTGGTAGGCCGAGCTCGAGGGCGGGCAGCAGTCTCAAGAGGACGAGTATGCAGACATCGAGGCGCTGCTGGCAGGCGAGAGCATACCGGAGACCTCCGAGAATGACGAGATGTTCGAGGAGACCGAGCTGATCGAGGTACTGGCAGCTACTTGGAAGGAGAATCGTCAGGATATCTACGACGCCAGCAAGACCCGCATCTTCCAGAAGGCCGATAATTAGCAGATCGCGTTCCGCCGCGAGCTGGAAGAAGCCGGGCTGAAGACGCGGTGCCATGCATGCAAGCAGGTGGGGCATTGGTCCAGAGAGTGTCCAAAGAAGAAGGGAAAAAAGGTTTCGGCGAGAGCAAGGGGCGTCCACTCGTGATGGGCGCAGGAGCAGCTGTTCTTGTTCTCGAGGGGCCAGGGGCACGTGAGGCCAGCGCGGCTTCCATGCTACAACAGTTGCGAGCACATCGCGTCGGTGAGCAGGTGCTGGAAGTGTTCTTCGCGCGCCCCGTTGGCAAGGGCGTGGCGGGCCCAGGCTGCGGCAGGACTCTCATTGGAGCCAATCGCCTGGCGAAGCTTCAGAAGATGCTGAAGTCCAGGGGCCACGAACTTGAGTTCTACCAGGAGGCCAGCGTGTTCCCGTTTGGCAACACTAGACGGGAAGGGACCACGTAGGCGGTCAAGGTTCCCGTGAAGATCGGCGGCGTGAGTGGATGCATCGCGGCGGCGGTGGCGCGTGGAGATGTACCCCTGCTGCTTAGCAGGCCGCTCCTGAAGGCCCTGCAGAATCGCGTGGACTTCACGACGAAGCAGATCGCCTTCGACGCGTTGGACACCACGGTCGAGCTCGAGGAGACAGAGTCGGGCAATTGCGCCATGCCGGTGCTCGAGCTAGAGACAGGCGCAGCCATCGTGGACAGCCGCGACAGGGAGTCGGTGGACTCCGAGCCAACGCTTGAGCCGACGAATGACCGGAAGGAGGAGGAGAAGAGCAATGAGCTAGACAAGGAGGAGTCGCAGGGGGACCTGGAGGAGCCTGGGACCTCGGTGATGAGACGAAAAATCCGACGACATCTCCAGGAACAGAAAAGACTACCTGGAGTCTTTCGGAATTGCTCTCACCGCCGCGGGTTCTAGAGCGCGCCGAAGATACGGATCGCGGCACGGGGCGGAGTTATGACTTACTTACCGGGTGCAACCTATCATACTGAACGGTGCAGCAGCGGGTTCCCAACGAACGGAAACGTTAACGACCCCGGGTCTTGGTGGCTTGCCCGCCGCGGGCGCGGCGCGGGGGTTTTGCGATTGAGCGCGCATCTACACAGCGCGACAACATATGCGCATGGCACGGGAAGCGCGCGTGCATCAGGTATTGCATACGAGAGTTACATGCGCAGCTTCATCGAGGGCACCGTGCGGGTTTCGAGCGCCCCATGCGGTCCCTGGCCTGGAAGATGGCCGAAATGCGACGTCTTCGGGAGCGAATGATCGAGGTGGAAACAGATATGCGCGCCCACGGTTTACGAGAGCCCGGGGACCCCGGATACATGAGAAAACATACGCGCCTTTTGGTGTCACCTCAGCGACTGTCGAGTTGCCCGGGGAAACGGTGCCCGGGGAACCTTAATCATGTGACGATTGAAGGAAACACCTGTGGCGCTCCCAGGAGCATGTGGGCAGATTTCTATACTTCGGATTTCTGCGATGCTATCCTACGAGGCGCTGACGACCTCGAACAGTTTTGGGCCGCTCATGTGGACGCCCCTCTGAGGTTTGAGCAGGAACTCGCGTTGCTGCCGCTGGAGACTGGGAATCGCGATGCATCTCATCGCGGGAAGCTACAGATGCTGGAGGCAGAGCTCGAGCAGCCTTGCTTGGCGGCTGGCCTGGAGGGTCCTGCGCCCGATCAGGAAATCTCCGACTCTCCTCAGACACCTCCCGTTGTCGCCAACGCCCAGAACATACGGGGCGCCCTCCAAAAATTACGCATCAACCTGGGCCATGCGGCTCCCAGAGAGATGGTCCGAATCCTGAAACATGGCGGAGGCCGCGACCGGGCCGTAACATTAGCCAGGAGCTTTCGATTTTATGTTTGTGACGAAAACAAAATGCCCAAGCCCTCCAGGACCGTGTCTGGACACCGTATATGGGAATTCAACAAACAATTGGGAACCGACTGGATAAATATTCCTGGGTGGGCGGGGCCTGCACATGCAGTCCTGCTCTTGATATGGTGGATGATGCATCCTCCTATAAGATTGTTGCGCCGTTGCTCCGAGGGGAAAAAACAACTCCGGGGCCATCCGCGAGGGGTGCCGACAATTCTGGAGGCGGTGGGCTGGTCCTGCCGAACGTATTGTAGTTGATGCGGGGAAAACGAAAAGTTGGGCTGCACTGACTGACCTTCTCGAGCTCGAACAGACCGAGATTTTACTTGTGGCGGGAGAGGGGCAATGGCAAAACGGGAAGACGGAATCGCGCGGGGGATGGCGGAATAAGATTTTCAAGAAGTTGTTGGAAACAGCGCAGCCCGAGAACTATGACGAATGGGCCGAATGCTTTGATGCGACGACCGACGCCGAGCAGCGGATGCCGCAGTTGACGGTTGATCTCCATGCCAGCGCGCGTTGGGCCAGGAATCCCGACCCCCAGGAGATTTGCCCCGGGGCGCTGTGGATGTGGTGAGTGTTTCCGGGCCCCTGTGTGATAGTGCTTGCGCCCGAGCCCGGGGGGTCCGCCAGCTTGCGATGCGCGCGCTCCTACAAGCCCGGGGCGACCAATATCTCCGCCGAGCCGTTGCTTCCCGCGGCCGAGCCGCGTGTCCTTTCCAACCGCGGGGGCGAGGTGGCCTACTGGAGGAAGGGGGGGAAGCTCACGTCCGCTGGCACGGGCGCGGAGTTCTCATTGGGCAACCGGGTCGTAACTGGTGGCTATTACACCGGGGGCATCTTATCCGCGCCGACCCCCCCAGCTACGCCCAGCGTCGACGAGCGAGGCGCAGGCGGATCAGTTGGTGGAGCAGGTGCTCCAGAGCGAACAACAGCGACTGAGCGCTGTCGGGGGGTGCCCACACTTTGGACCCCGCTCGACAGGAGGTCCCTCCAGGCCCGCCGCAGAGGCGCTCAGCTAGAAGATCCTCCCTCGGAAGCCCCAGCCGGTGAACATTCAGAACCCGTCGGGCCCGCGGGACCTCCGACCGTCGATGGGCCGCAGATGGTTTCTGGACCCCCCAGTGCCCCGAGAACCACCGGCCGAGCCAACTTCGACTCCAGCAGTTGTTCCGACTCCGACTTCGCGTCAGCCACGACGACGAATACCGACGAAACAAACGGCGTCCGGACGACCCGCCTCGCGAGAGCCACAGCGACGCGTGACGACGAAACGGTCGATCGACGAAGTCACGCAACCAGCGTCCCAACAGGCCTCCAGGACCCCGCTGGTTCCCGAAGGACACGATCTGACGACTGGCGACGACGACGACGCAGACCAGCACCCACTAGTGGCCCCACAGGACGTGGCGATGGAAACTGTGCCTATCTGACGTCAGGCGATGCGCGCGCCGTCCCCAGACCGTGAATCCTTACTGGTTCAGTCCGAAGGGCCTGAACATGTTGTTTTTGCCGCTGAAGCTATCGAGCGCATTCAGCGATTGGCGGCGACGAACACCGCGGGGTGGCGACGACCTTTCACCTCTTTCCTCGCTGGGGCGATCTCTCGTCGCGGCCGGAAGGAGCTCAGTTTTCGAGGGGCCTCCAGCGATCTGTTGCGCAAGGCCGAGACAGCCCGCGCCCTGGATATTGATGGCCTGATCCAGAAGGGTTGCCTCAGGGTGATTTCCAAGAGGGGGGAGATGGAGGTCCGGGAGAAATTGAACCAGCGGTTTATTCCTGGACGGTTTGTGAAAACTGAGGAGGAGGAAGGGCAGCCTGCGCGAATCAAAGCCCGATGGTGTCTCCGGGGACATCTGGATCCCGATTTGCCGTTTTGATTCACAAGGGAAAGTTGCAAAGTCCAACGATCACCCCTTTGGGCCGAGCGGTGTGCCTTCACATGGTGGCCAGCCATCAGTGGGACTTGCAATTTGGCGACGTGTGCTGTGCCTTCCCAGAAGCCGAGAACATCAAAAGACGCGAGCCCCTCTTTGCCGCGCTGCCCATGGGCGTGCCAGGACATCCCGATGGGAGAATCCTCGAAGTGGTCGGAAACCTGCATGGCAAAAACGATGCCTATTCGAGTGGTTCCAGGAGTCTGACGGGTACTTACAACAACTTGGCTTCTGTCCAGGTCGCTTCGACCCGTGCCTGTATTTCCTGCGCGACCAGGGGAGCTTGGTCGGGGTGCTGGCATGCCATGTGGACGACAGTATCACTGGTGGGCACGGGACCCAGAGTGCCGAAACCATCCGGCTCCTGCGCGAGCGTTTCCCATTTCGGAAACGGCATGTACATCGTGGGGGAATTTGTGGAACCCACTACACCCAGGGCCCGAAGACCAAAACGATCCAAGGAACTCAGTCGAAGTTCGTGGAGAAGATGCGACCGGTCCGTCTCAACCGACAACGACTCTGGGACCCTGCGGTGAAAGCGACCGACCACGACATTGCCCAGGGACCATTGTGTTTCGGAGACGGAGGTTGGGCGCGCAAGGAGACGCGACCATATTTGTCGTGCCAGGTATCTTTCGGTCAGAGCTGTTCCCCACAACTGACCGTGGGCGAGCTAGCGCAGGGCGCTGCAATGGTACGTCGTGCCGAACAGTACTCAGACCTTGCGATTACATGCCTGCCGTTCCCTCCAGAACAGCTGAGGACGATTGCCCATCTTGATGCTGCGTGGGGAAATTCCATAAACGACGGAACCCAGGCTGGCTACATCCTAGCGTCCACGTCGACCGACATGGCGGGAGGAAAAGAGGCCCTTTGGACCCCGTCTAACTGGCAATATTTCGGACTCGAACGACAGGCGCCCGCTGCGCTGTCGGGGGGGCGCAGGCCGCTTCGATGTGTTGTGCAGCTGTGGACTGGATGTCGCGTTTTGCTTTATGAGGCCCTCGACGGACCCGTGGACGTTGGAAACCTCGACGTTTGCATGCGCGCCCCGGTGCCTATCGTGGTCACGGACTGCAAGTCAGTATACGATCATGTGAATGCGAATGCGTCGCCAGCTAGTCTAGAAGATAAGCGGCGTGCTATCAATGTTGCGGTGATTCAGGACTCGGTCAAGCGGCATGGTGCATGCTTTAGGCGGTGCCCTACGAACCGACAACTAGCGGATGCCCTGACTAAGGACAAAGGGGACCCTGCGGGCCGCCCCACGAGCCTGTATGAGAGCCCAGCCGCATCGACTAGCCGATGAACAGCACGTGCTAGACTTAAAGGCCAACGAGCGTACCGACGGTTGCGAGGGGCCCAACGGAAAGAGCACTCGACTCGGGTATCAGGGGATCCCGTGTGATTGCGATGATTGCGGGGGATTTTGGGCTCAGCCAACTGTTCATTTCCACGACGCCTTTGCGACATATCTTTGCGAAGACAAAGTTGCCGCTGCGTTTCGCTCCTGCACCGATGGTCAAGAAGGAACCCGAAGAGACCCAGGCAACTGCGGGGGAAGATTTCGCCCAAAGACTCCACCATACTCGCCTCCGC